TATATATATTGATTTGTTTAAGCAATTGGTAAGTATATCGTGAATAAATATTGAATTGAATGAATAAATGAATGAAAACCATATTGGATTCGATATGCGTACGTTATTATGAGTGAATAATATTCACTCATAATAGCGTACGCATAGAGTTATTTTTTGTGATAAAGATTAGCCGGGAATCTTAAATGTTTACATTTTATCCAGTAATTCAGTGCTAGTCCAGTACGTTGGTATAGTTTCCATACTAATGAAAATCGAAGCTGCAAACGATCCAAACGGCTCTGCCCGCTAAACCCAGTTGGTCAATTTGCACACCCTTCAAGGCCCTCCCCCTTGTTACGGCCCAGCAGTAATGATACTTGTCCTTTGAGAAATTGTGTGTGTTCTGCTTGAGTGATTGTCTAATGGGCTAATAAGGACAACATTTTTTATATGAATATAAAAAAAAATAAAATGATAATGTCAGTATTTTTTTTTTATTTATAAAAATTCTACATTACTATGAAATAATAATTTAAATAATAATAAAAACAAAAATAAAATTCCATTAAAAATGAGTCGGGATATCCAGCTTTATGACCATCTCAGATGATAGCGTACTAGTTCTGCATTGACACTTTGGTTGTTTTTCTAATCGTCTAATCGTTTCTTTCCGAGACCGTACTTAGGCGCGCCTACTAACGATTATTTTACCTTTGTGTAGGCTAATGCAAATAGATAGGCCTACGTACACCTGGGTCATAAGTTGTCTTTACTCTTTATGCTGAATCATGGGGAAACTCAAAGTTGACATGATTTATATACTGATATGCATATATTTGTCATTAATTTTTTCACCTTTAGGTTACGTGTATTATGAGGATGTGTAGTTTATGGGGCGCGCTATCGCTCAACATTCGGTTCTTGCACTGCATGTCGATTAAAATCTTATTGCAGCGAGTTTCATGGCCTGTGATTGGCCATGATAATGGTAATGTTAAACAACAAGCATATTTTAGGTTTAGATAAAGGTAAGGCTAGGCTTGATAAGTTTGATAATGCTTACTTATATTGGCAAAGCTTCATTGGAACCAGAGGCGGATCCATTTTACTTTTTTTTTTTAATTATTCAAAAAGGGGAGGGCGGGTCTTCCCCCTCCCCCAATCCGCCTTGGAAACGCAGATCAATACATTCATGAATGAATGACTAAGCATGTAACCTAATGCCAGCTAATGAAATGCACGTACGCAAATTAATGACGATTTATGCATAAACCTAAACCTCCCCCCCCCCCACGTCGGGGAAAAAGTGTGTTGATTATGGTATTCTTTATTTAAAAAAGATAATTTGATAGAAAACCATGCAAGTTAAGAGGCCCTTGTCGGATGTGATGTTAAATTTCGCGATATTATGCATATTTACATCATACCTACGTTATATAATAAATAGTCATCTAATCAATCATGTCCTTTAAATATTTAAGAAAGGTTTTGATGTTCTACCCTGTGTACACTTTTTTCACAGTAGGAATGTTTGAGAACGTTCCCTGTAAGTAGGGGCAAATATATTTACTCGATGTTAAATCAACAAGAGCGACCGCTCACCGGCCGCGCGTTCCTCCACGCTTAAATACGGTACAGGCACAAGTCATTATATTGGGTTTTTTGGAAGAGCTTTTTAAATTTTTAAATAATTAGAATGTTTAGTTGTATAATTGTTTTTTTAATAATTAGAATGTTCATTTGTACAAAATTAAAATGTCTTAAAATTGAAAAGAAAAAAAAAATGTTGAATACCAATACGCGATTCGAACTCACGACCTTTGGTTCTTTAGAAAACATCCTTAAACGGCCGCATCCATGCCGCGTGTATTATTGAGTAGTAATGGTGGTAATTTACAGTCCTTGCTGAGACCCCTGTTTAGTTTTGTAGGTGTAGAGGGAACCGTGGGGTCCAACCTAAAAAAGGGGCGATGAAAGTTTGTTGGAAATCACCTCTAGTTTGTGTGTACAGAATTGCCTGCAAGTTCTGGTAACAAGAACAACAAGAACAGAAAATAGGTAATTATTCTGATCGATGTGGGTACATAGATCGGTATTTTAGGACTTCCGGGCTTTTATTTTACCAATCGATATATTATCATAATATACGGTTGTAAAATTAGGTAACAGCCGTTAACCTGGTTAATACAAACACGGGACATTTACAAGTAAAACACTAATTTTCTAGCATAGTGCTATTCTTTGAACGCAAGTGGCCAAAACATTAGTTTTTTTTTTAAATATGCGTAATAACAAATTCAAGTGACATCTTGTTGTCGTCCTTTATATCCAGGCAAACTTTACCCTGGATACGCAGCCCTGAAATAATAACCACGACCGATCATGTATATTTAGCAGAATGGATGTATGATTAGGCCTATGATAGCGTAATGAAATGTATTCCAATGTGAGAAAGAAGCGTATTCAGATTGTAACAGCATGTAAATGACATCGGCAATTTGGGGTTTGTTTTGTTTAGACCTCCATGATTTAATCCAATCCAATCTACCACTGGAATCGAATTTTTTTATGATCGGAAAGCAAATCTATGGCGTATCATGATTATTGAAAAGTTGAGCGCTGAATGGAAATATCTCTGGGACAACCCTAGGCCTATTAACTTGGGGGAAGGGAATCCCTATTAGGCCTAAGGGGACACTTTGCAGCTATGAAACGACAGAAAGTATATCTTTTAGCAATACTACTTGAGTAGTGTACCCTTGTTCAGGGGACACTTTTTTGGTCTCGAAGGTGTCCCCTTAATAGGGGTTTTACTGTAGGAATATTACATCCACTGAACTTGACGCAAGCCACAACACTAACAGGCCCGTAGGCAGGGGGTGCAGAGGGTGCGGACGCACCCCCCCCCAAATTCCAAAAGGTCCACTTTTTAAAACCTATGATTTCACAAAATCGTTCCTAATTATCACAAAATGCTATAGCATGTATTGCATTATACATTTGCCAGCTTATCTAACCGTTGATTTTTAATAATGTGGCATGAAATTTGTTTGAAATTGATCGTCTCCGGTGATTGCAGATTGATCTATATAATATGAAGAATGTTATCTATAGGCCTGCAGATGTACAGGACATAATAACGTTACTTTTTCAGGTCCCAAAACACCCAAATTAATGAAAATTTGAATGAAATATTCATGAATTATGTGTTTGAGTAATCTATTATGTAAGACCCTCAAAATGCTACTTTGTCGCTTTTCTCACAAACCCCCTCCAGGCCTCTGCCCCTGGACCACCAAATTTCAAAAAGTCCACTTTTTCAAACCTGTTATTTCACTAAAATCGTTCCTAATTATCGCAAAATGCTATAGTATGCATTACATATTTTTGCCCGCTCTTCTACCCGTTGATTTTTAATAATGTGCTACGAAATCTGTTGGAAATTGGAGGAGGAACAAGTGGCCCCATACACTGGATCCGCGCCTGTTAACGAACACTTGGTAATTCCCCTACTACGATTTTAGTGAAATAAAAAATACACAAACCCCGAGGCGGATAAAATTGACAGGTTTAATCTATGATTGTTTTGTCAATTTTATCTGCCTCGGGGTTTGTGTATTGTTTATGAGCAGTATACTCAACACAATTTCCAACCGAGTGCATGGACTGTCACATAATAAGGGGAAGGGGCGGTTTCAATTCTCTGATTGAATGATGTCATATAATTTAAACAATAACTGATTATTTTCTTTCGTAAGATTAAATACATTATTATATCGTACAGATTATCAGGTTATTTTTAGTTGTAATTTATTTTTTATTGTCTATTTATCAAAACTTATTTAACCCTATTTTAAAAATGGACTAGTCATGATTGTTAGTTCATACCTGGCATCTTGATAGCAAATCATTTCAACTTTAATTAAACCAGGATTTTTATGATGCTGGGAATCAGTTAACTGAAACTGCAGAACGATCGTCAACATTGAAAGGTAAGCAATTCAGACTTTTTACAATGGGGTTGGTAGGGGTGGAGTGGGGGAGGTGAGGAGGAGCACTAATTAATGAGTTAATTATAGAGAAGTCAGGCCCGTAGCCAGGTTCTTCCGGGGAGGGGGGAGGGGGAAGAACCTGTTAGCGGGTTATGTTAGAAGTTTACCACGAGATAGAAATAATGCAACCGTGGGACAAATAGAGCTTTCGTTACTTCAGAGAAAGGTTATCCCATTTGGTGCATGAACCTTAATGCACAATGGTAAGACGTATCGCCGGGACACAGCAGGAGAGAAAGGGGTGGGTAGGAGCAGGTTGACCCACTAATTCAACTCTCCCTCCCCCTCCCCGCTGATCAAAGTCGTCCCGGGCCCTCATTGAAAAAGTTCGAAGGCCCGAAAAAATTACTTAAGCATTGTACGGTAACACTTGGCAGTGCATAGGCCATCAACTACAAGTCTCCATCTCACACGGTTCTGCGCAATTCCTTCCACCTCCGACCAGTTGTATCCAGCACTTTTCACTTTTTTCTAGTTCTCTCCTCCATGTGTTACTTGGTCGTCCTCTTTTTCTTTTTTCCTAACAACAACAAAGATAATCGATTTCATTATCAAATATACACTTCATCCATTTTCCCCCCAGCACTGCATCATTAAATGGCAAACGTTACAAAACATTATCCTAAGCCTAATGTGAAGAAAGGCAATTTCAGTGCATTTTTGTGGTGCATTAACAACTACCTATGACAATGAAATATAATGGTTTGTTTGATAAAGTGAAAGGCCTACACTCCTCTTGTTATCTCCGATCAGCAATAAAAACTGGAAAAATGCAAGTAGGGTTTTAAAGTATTAGTGATAGTAAATGTCGAATTCACAATAAAGTTTATTTTTAGATACACATTTTTTACCCTATATATATATTATATATATATGTATATATTATATGTATGTGTATATATATATATATATATATGTATATGTATGTGTATATATGTATATGTATGTATATATATATATATGTATGTATATGTATACTTATATAAAAACAATTACAAAAAAATAGCAAAGAGCTAAATATGTTTGTATTACAAAATAGAAAAAAAAATATATCCAAAAAGTAGAAAAATGTATAAATATAACAGTAGAAAAATATACATCAAATTTAATCCGCCACAGTTCAATATAACACTTGACATAGCATATCATTTTGTTTCACAAATGACTAATTCCAAATGTAAAGCGAAATATATTTTTATTCGAAAGATTTTTTTTATTCAATAGTTTTACACCCTGTCACATCAACTACATTTTACTGTAAATTTTGTAGTTAACCTTCAGAGAACTTTATTTTTTTAAATGGTCTAATTAAGTATCTTATTGTTTTCGTTAAATTAGATGGCGTTTAAATGTGATTATATACGCTAGTTTGAAGGTTTATTGTAAGCCAATCAGTTACACTTACATCTTCATGGTTAGTAGCATAAAGAGAACTAGATCGTCGCTCCATAATGAGTGCCTACCTCCACCCTATTATATGCCTAAATACAGAATTTACAAATGCAGGTGATTCCATTTTTTCCCCTTCATGTGCGAGGGTGGTGGGTTTCAAGGAAACTTTACAGACGCGCGTATAACGACGTCAATCAACATTTGGTTGATCAACTCAAAAAGGGAACTTGTAATGTTCGTTACAAAATGAAAGAAAAAAATCTCTACTTTATAATGATAATAATAGATCAATTTATAAAGGGCAAAGAAACAAGGTCTCAAGCACCAAAAAATAATAGGATATCCTTCAAAAAAGCTTAACCCCCCCCCCCCCCCCCAACCACCCCCACCCACATCTAGATGTCCCTCCCCCTAATGTCTACAGGAAATTAGCTAAGCCAAAAATGTATACTCAAGTGATTGCTAGCTAACTCTTAGGCCTAATCATCGCGGCCCCAACTTACTGTAAGCCCTAACCATCATAAACAGACGATAGAAAGATTTACACATTCGATCTTAATCAGTAGTATAGGGCCTGCTTACAGCTTTGGGACTAGGCACGTAGCAGGAGTCTTGGGCCGGGGCAGGAGGTCGGGGAAAATGTAGTAATTTTTCCGATTAGTAATTTATGACCCGGTGTGATACCCTCCCTAACAATATAGAAAACAATACGACATATCTTAACGGAATATATAATATTAGGCCTACACACGTGTGTTTGAAACTAAATATAAGCACTTTCATTATTTTGTTTTATTTATTACAACCATATTCTTTCACCATCAATACACATGCAAAGAATTATTACTGTATTTTTTTTTTCACCTTTTAGAATAGACCAATGAGGTCTTTCTTTAATGGTAAAACGATCTATCTTAAATTTCCTTTGTGTTTGATGTGGGACTTTTCTATTAAATCAAATTTATTTTTTATTACAAGTGTTTATGATTTATACATTTTTATCATTATTGAAATTGCAATATACGGTACCTCAATTGACAATTCGCGTACCGTTGTCGATGTAGTTTGTGGCTGGGAAGAATAAGCCACAGGCTGGTCTTCCTCTCTGCAGTCAGTCGTCTCAGGTCTATCTGGTATTGTTGTTACTGTTGTAAATCTGTGCAAACAACCTCCCGGTACTGACTCCCTGTACCAAGTTTGCACCGTGGGCGGTCGAATTATGACTTCGCATCCTATCTCTTCTTAACGATTTTTTTTTACAGTAGAAGCATAATGTTCTCCCCTTCGACGACATTGGAGCGATCCTTTATTGCTCTAAAAACTAATACGAGAAGGTGTAAAACGCGAATTGCCGGCCTGGGAATGAGATGCAATGGCGGATCCAAGAATTTGAAATATAGGGGGCCTAGGGAGGAACTTTGACGGATGGAGGGTCTATACCAGCGTCCGCAAACGTTTTACTTCACGGCCTATTTACGAGTCCAGGCACCAAGCCGCGGCCCACTAGCAGCCCAGCCGCGCCAGGGACCAACATACCAAATCTTGGCAAGAACTTTTGATCATGAAGCCTCCATGTATACAATATATTGACATCATTATCTGTTCCCTCAGTGATAAAATTTCATTGGATACAAATTAGATATTATTAAATAAATAATACCATACATTTGTGCCCCCCCCCCCTCCACAATGTATTCATTGTTTGTTTTTTTTTCTACCATGATTCAACCAAACACGGTTCAGCCAAACGCGTTATAGCTTTCTCCTTCTTCCAAAACTTTTAAGCACACTCTGTTACACCGCAACTTTGAAAGAATACCTTACTATACAGGTATTATGTTTAGTAATAGAGTATCCACATGGGCATTCAGTTGTCAAGAAATGTGTGGTGTTGTTTACTGTGTGATCTTTCTAGGACAGGTCTTATGATTATTTTTATCTTCAAAAATGTTTCGCGGCCGGAGAATAGGGATCTGTGCGGCTTAGGTCAAAGACGCTACAAAAAATCCAATGCGATGTCCCGCAGCCTCTATACCTCATGTATACATCAGACATGTATCACTCACAATTATTTCGCTCTAGCTTTGTGGACATTTTTTGAAGTGGAAAAGGAGGTGCAGGGTGTTGCGATATCTGATCATATGATTATCTTCCTTTTTTTCTTTTCTGTATTTTTCTCTTCTCATTTTTCCTACTTTTTTCTTTCCTTTTTTTCCCCTTCGTTCTCTTTCCCTTCCTCTCCCCTCTTTTTCTCTCCTCTCCTTACCCACAATGGTAAAATCCCTCATTAGGGGCAGTCTTGCTTTCCCCCCCCCCCCCTCGCTTGTTACGCCACTGATAGAAACCATTTCTCCCCATCCTTACTATTGGGGCGTGTTTATCATCAGTCTGCACACAATGCAATCTAACGAACGATTGCTGTGTATACAATGTCATTTTTATTTTAAGGCTTCGATTACCGGTTAGCTGAGCTGCAATATGGGAGATCAAGTCTTGGACATCGATTTGGTTGTCAAGATACTGAGGCGGCAAAAAGAGCTTAGGCTTTCCTCTAACATAAGCAGAAAATACGATGAACGCCTCGACTTCACGCAACCGGATGTGCTATGCGAATTACAGGTATTGAATGGCCTATAAATTGACAAAATATTCCACAATATCTAATATAACTGCCTTGGGCAAACTGTTGTATGCCAGTCATGATGTGCATATATTAAGTATGGTCATGATGTGGTGTCATATTGATTTTGTCAAATAAAATGTGACATAGTTTGTCACAGGACTTTAAGGTATATTTACGCGCGCGTATGTATTAATTAGTTATGGGCACAGGTGAACTATAAGGCTCTGTCCATTACGTAAAATATAAATGAGATATGGATGCCCATATTTGGGTGTAATATGACATCGTCACGTCCATATATGGACACATCAAACAAATTTGTCGCATATAATTTAATCGTGAACAAAACTTTAAGCATATTATTATTGTGATGTGCAAGTGAGGTTATTAAATCAATAAATAGCGGAAAATTAATTTATGCACAGTTACCAAGTGTTTTAAATATGTAGGCATATAATATGGATGTGCTTTTATTTTTAAATTGATAATTATCTCTCAACAGAAATATACGTAAAAGATACATGTATGTTTAATATATTGCTCATAGCAACGATTTGATAATATTATACGCATTGATAACGCACGTCCTATCAATGTAAGGCAGAAAAACTTAGGCCCTATAGATAACTCTTATTTAGTAAATACAGTAATACAGTACATCGACAATAATGATGGTTGGCATATGAAAATGTATTTAACCAAATATGGAAATGGAACAAAAAGAACAGATTGATTGACGTGTTGCCCAAAATATTTGACAAAATAAAACATCTACTTTAGTAGCCTGTAGAATTAAGAAACTCAAAAGTACTGTACCCAAATGAAGTCATTGTTATTGTATATTATGCATGTGGGCCCCGCTTCCCAAACTTCTTTCTCATGGACACAATTTGTGATTTTCCAGACAAGCCGCGACCCATGTAATATTAAATATCATAGTAAATTGCTCTATAAGATCTAAAAAATGTGATGCTTTAAGATATTAGTATTTGTGTTTTTTGCTTACTAATGATTGTCCTTTTGAGAAAACAGTGGCGGATACAGGTAGGCCTATTCGTAATAGAGGGTACCCAAAAATGAATTTTCATAAATACTGGGCACCTCAGCCCCACCGGTTGGGGTGCAGGTGAGAAATGTTATGATTATTGCATCCGTAGATGGCCGGAAATGGCACTTTCAGATTGAATTTGAATACAAGTTTCTACATTAGGCCTATTTGTTTTTGATTGGAGGGTGGGATGGGGGGGGGGCTGTCTCTTATACACATCTAGATGTGAAAAAAAAAAAAAAAAAAAAAAACAACTTTTAATATTTAAAACGAAAATATAATCTCCCTTTTTGCAGAAAATATTTACAAGCTTTGAATTATGCAGTTGGTGAACTTAAACCTAAATTTTAACCGTGTGGTTACCAGTGGCGTATACAGGATTAAGGAAGGGAGTGCTGAATCAAAGGAGGGTGCACACCACTGTCACAAGCTCTGTTTGTGTTTTTCAACCAATGAAATGACTACGAGTACAACTTGTTGCAATTCACACCAGATTATCCATTTAATCGTCGAAGTTTTAAGAATTTTGAGACTTATAGATACCCAAAAAGAGCACTTGAATAGTACAAAATCTACGATATCCACCTGAGCCCCACTATGGTTGTGAGGCGCAGATGAGTAAATTTTAAGAAATTGAGATTTTTTAGATGCCCGAAAACGGCACTTGGATATGCCTATTTAAAATTTTTCAAAAACTACTATCCACCCCAGCTCGTGGTTGAGGCTGAGGTAAGACAATTATAAGAATTTGAGGCTTTTAGATGCCGGAAAATTGCACTTTAGTACCAAAAAAAAAATAAAAAAAAAAAAAAAAAAAAAAAAAAAATCAACGAAAATAACTATATCCACCTGAGCCCCATCATGGTTGAAGCTTGTGAAGGATGGTGCTCTGAGCACCCATACTGGATACGCCACTGACTACTATATAACCTTTTCAACCAAAATGACAGGGGCTTTTTGGTATATTAGGCCTATTGCAAAAGTTTAAAATTCGAAATTCATTTGTATAATGTTATTTTTAGGTCACCTGACAGTACTTTTTGGTTTTAAGTTTATTTCTATAAATTGTTTTGAACAGTTGAAAGC